AGACAATCTCATTATTTTTCCCTTAAATTTCTAACATGGTATCAGAGTCTATCTTTCTCATGCCGTAGATATAGCCTACCAACCCGTGTTTCTCCGGGTACATTCAACCTGGATTGTACCCGAAGGTCTTGTGATTTTGAGATCATGCCTTTGCAAGTTGTCTTTTTGCAAATCTGTCTCGTCTCGTCTCCGATTTGCCATCTGTCCGCTACTTGTCTGTTGTCTGTGTGCAATCTGAAATCTTCGCTGCTTGTCTGTTGCCTGCGAGCGATCTAAAACGATCTGTCATATGTATGTTGTTGCGTGCGATCTGCCATCTTTCATTGCTTATTTGTTGCCGGAAATCTGTCTATGATCTGCCATCTATCCGTTGTTTGTCTGTTACCTGCGTGCGATATGATTTGTCTGATGTTTGCGATTTGTCTGTTTTCGGCTCCAGTAGTCATATGGTTTTCGACTCCGGTGGAGAGTCATCTCGTTTTTAACTCCGGTGGAGCGTCATCTCATTTTCGGCTCCGGTGGAGTCCTTTTGTTTTCAGCTCCGATGAGTCATCTCGTTTTTAGCTCCGGTGGAGTCATATCGTTTTCGGCTCCGGTGGAGTCATCTCGTGTTCGGCTTCGGTGGAGTTATGTGGTTTTTTGCTCCGGTAGAGTCATGTGGTTTTTGGCTCAAGTGGAGTCATCTCATTTTCACCTCCGGTGGAGTCATCTCGTTTTCGACAGCTCCGGTGGAGTCATGTCATTTTCGGCTCCGGTTGAGTCATCTAGTTTTCGGCTCCGGTGGAGTCATCTGGTTTTCAGCTCCGGTAGAGTCATCTTATTTTCGGCTCCGATGGAGAGTCATCTCATGTTCGGTTTCGGTGGAATCATGTCGTTTTCGGCTCCGGTGGAGTCATCTCATTTTTTGCTCCGGTGGAGAGTCATCTCGTTTTTTTCTCCGGTGAGTGGAGAGTCAACTGCTAATTTTATTTATGTTTTCTTTTTGTGTTTATATTCAAATTTCTCCAGAAACTCAAGTTGTTTTTTGTTATACCACTTGAGTTTGAGGGGAGATGTTGAGATACTTTCTCTATCCCACATAATTTGTCCCTATTTTCTATTTTCGTCCGTCTCACATAACTTGTTCTTTCTATTTTTGGAAATATGATTATGCACTTTAATCGCATTTTAAATTTTATAATTTTCTTAATTTTAATTAAATTATTTTCTTATCTTAATTTTAATCTATAATTATTTTTACTAAATAATAATTATTTTTACTAATACACGTCTTAATTACTTACTAATTATACTTTACCTAAATTCCCGTGTCTACAATAATACACTCATATTACATGGAACGGAGGGAGTATTTTAGATATTTAGTTTTAGATTTAGTAGATTTGTATTTAGATTTGATCTTATTCATAGATTAAATTACTTAGATTTGAGTCTATCGAGTATGTTTTGTATTGCCTATATATAGGCTTCTTACTTTGATGATCAATAAGACAATTTCATTATTTTCCTCCAAAATTTCTAACAAATAAATTAATGAAATGATTTATTTATTTATTTATTATTATTATTATTTATAATATAGGAATTTGTCGTCGCTACTCGACAAGTATTCTGGGTAAATATTAATGATATTTTTTGTAAAAAAAAATAATATTAAATATTATAAATTGAAAGAATAAATAAAAAGTACATAAATAAGATAAAGAAAGTAATAAACATGGCCATATTATGTGTAATGTTATTTAATAATAATATAATAATATTGTGGTTAGTATAGAAATGTATATATTTACTGTGTCGTGCTCGTTTATAGATGTGTAGTGGTAATATATATAGATATGTATGTATGGTTTATATATGTAAAAAGTAATGTTGCATTATAAAATACATACATATGTATATATAGATAGGAGTAAATTGACAGGAGAAAAACAAGGTTGAAGACATTTTGTTTTGGAGTTGGATTTTGAGGTTTGATTTAAATAGTAAAAATTTTCAATTGAAATAGTTGTATAATGTGATATAAATAAGCGTTAGATGTAATATTTTTAATATAAAATTAATTTTTAATATAATATAAAAAATAAAAAATAAATATTTGATTTGATATTTTTGAAAAAAAAAAATGCTAAATAGTAAAATTTGGGAAGAATCTCTCAAGCAAGCACATTTATACTTTTGTATATTTTCTTTTCATTCGCCTATACCTTTATATGTATATATATAAAAGAGTAAGGCAGTGATTGTATGATCTAAAAGCATCTGCATTTTATTGACGGGTATATAGTTCCTCCGTCCACATACTAATATCTTACTTTTCTATTTGGGACGTTCAACAACTATTGTCATATTTCCTTTTTTAAATATAAATTTTACATTTTTACCTTTCATTCATTTATTACTTTTAATTTCTATCGTACACTTAAGGGCAAATTTGTCAATTTATAACAAAAAGACAATCATCTAAAAACCCGTGTAAATATACTTTAGGACAATATAAATTGGACGGGGAAAGTATAATATATTTGATGTAGTTGATGTGCGTAACATGTCAGCCTTTGTACAAATAGAATCCGGAAAGGATTACAGTTCTTTAACCATAAATGATTGACAAAATTGTCTATAAATCCCTTGTGGTTTATAAATTAAGCTTAAATTTTATTTTATTTTATTTACTTTAAAAATTGTGTGGTATTCCTTTATATTTTAAAAAACATTGCATAAAATTCGTTTATGATTTCAAAACTTAATATAAATCCCTACTTTTATTTTAAAAATTGCATAGCGCCCCTTATACTTTATAAATGTTGCATGAAACTCCCACCATGCAAAATATATAGATAGGAAATAATTTCCTCATAACATAAGGGAAGTTTCACGGCGGTGAAATTTTATGCAATATTTTTTTAAGTATAAAAAAGTACTAAACAACTTTTATAGTATAGGAAGATTTTACGCAGAATTATAAGCAATTTCACCTGAATTATTTTATATTAATTTTTGTTTAAACTATGAAATCTATTTATTTGAACCTGTTAAAATCACTTTGTTGAGACCAAAAATCAAGCTTTGCTTCTTATTTTTGTAAATATAGTGTGTTTATTTGTGAAATTTTTATCATGATTCTACTATTTTAATTTTATTTTTTAAAAATATCAAATCAAATATTTATATTTTATTTATTATATTATACTAAAATTTGTTTTTACATTCAAAACATCACAAAATCAAAACTCAAAATCAAAATGTCAGAAATACAGACACCCGAGCACATTTTCGAGGCATCTGATCGATTCAATCTCTAATTTAAAAAAAAAAAAAAAAAAAAAAGAAAACAAGAAAGAAAGAAAGAAAGATATACTTTGGTTATATTTCATCTCTTCAATGTATGACATCCAAAACAAAAATGATGTATTTAGTTGGGGTTAGGTGTTAAGTATGGTTTGAATTAGTAAAATTTTTATTAAGGGTCAAATGTAATATCAATATATATTGAAAACCTTCAACGTAAAATTTATTTTAAATATAATACTCTATAAATAATAATAAAAATTTAATTTGATATTTGATCGGACAAAATTTTCATAAATAATAAAAATTTAGTAAAAATTTCCAAACAAACACAGCCTTTAGCAACTGTACCAATTTGTAGAATTAGTTGTCTAACATTCTAATTTAAATAATAACATTATAACGTTAAGAGATAAATTAAAGTAGCTAATATTATAACCCAGAGTATATAGTTATATAAATATATTTATAAATAATAGTGTATATGTATACAAGATTTGATCTCAAACCGATCTAATTGACAAGTCTACGTAACAGCCGTTAACGAGTCGAATATAATTTTAAGTGTTGTGTACGTATTTTATTGTTCGAGTTCGTGTGCGTATTCGCCAGGAAGACTCATATTCTTTCATTAAGCATTTTCGGTTTATTAACCTATTTTATTGTTCGAGCTCGTGTGCGTATTCGGTTTGAATAAGTTTGTTTGGATTCGTTTGGATAAGTATGATACTCCCTCCGTTCCATTGAAAGGTTACCGTTTTCTATTTTCGTCCATCCCAAAACAAGGTTATCATTTCCTAATTTAATAATTCTACTATCTACTTAACCTAATAAATATCCTTTCAATTTACAATATATTATACAAATGTCATTACTTTTATATTATATCGTACTAATAGGGGTATTTTTGTCTTTTTTATTATAATTCAATATAATACTAATATTTAAAAATTTACGTGCAAAAAGCAAACGCCACCCTTCTAACGAATGAGGTATTTTAGTTTATTTTTTAATTCATATATAATATAATATTATATTTATTTATTTATTTTTAATTAATAATTTCATATATTTATTTTTTAACGAACTTTTGCGAACAAAGTTCAAACGCATTCGTTAATCAAAAAAATTTATTTATATTATTCGATTAGATTTGTTTACATTCAAAAACGAGCTTAAAACAAGCCGAATCGAGCTAAATTCACAGTGGCCTTGATTCGTAACTCTATTTGAGAGCACCAACAACGGATCACGGCATCAATGATTTTTCTGTTTTTTTTTATTTACCTAAGTAGTAAGTACACTACGAGATGATCTTTTCTTCCATAGGTATGTGGGTCCATGCCATTTTTTACCTATTTAATAAATATAAAAACTTACATTTGTAATATACTACTTTTGTTGCAAAAAAATGAACTTATATTTTTTTTTAGCATAAAATTTGGATAATATTTCACCGAAGGTATCTATTTACTATTTGTGTCACTATATTTAACGTTAGAAATAATCTTATATTTAAATAATTTTTGTACAAATATCATTATATTAATATTACAAGACACTAACGAAAGTAAATAAATATTTAATTAGGGAACGAAAAAGTATTGATATTATATTAACAGTGAATAGAAAATAATATTTTTTTTATTTAAATTGTGTAAATAAAAATATAATAACTATATTATTATTAAATTTTAAGTGTACAGAAACATAAAAGCTAAGGATTGCAGCCATGGATGATTGCATAAGAAAAGATCAATCAGAAATGGCATATTTTATTTAAAACTGGAAGCATAGGGAGTGAATGAATAATGTAATGTAATGTTCCTTAGCTTTCTGCTGCACTGTTAATCCTAAGATAAGCAAGAGTATGCAAGATCCTTCTCCTCAGTAAGCTCCTGAGCCGTCAGGTCGAGCTTCTTCCGGGAAAACTCATCGATGGCAAGTCCTGGAAGAAGAATATCATTGCAAATAAATAGTTTGTTAAATCTTCAATCCATGATCAGCGCAGTCTGAGTTTTTAAGCTTATTAGTCTCACCTTGAACAATGGACCATTCTCCATTCTTGCAAGTAACCGGGAAGGAATAAATGAGCCTGGCCGGGACATTGTAGGAGCCATCAGAGTATACGCCCATCGAAACCCAAGTACCCTGGAGGGGGTGGCTATGTCAATGTTGTAAGTGTAATAGAGTTGAAAGTATGTAATGGAAATGCCAACAGACCTCAGGAGTTCCGAGGATCCAATCGCGAATGTGATCGCAGGCAGAGCTAGCTGCAGAGAGTGCACTCGACAGTTTTCTAGCCTTGATGATCGCAGCCCCGCGCTGTTGGACAGTGGTTATGAATTCTGACTTTAACCTATTGAGTGTAAGTTGGGTGTCAATGTTTTCAACAAAAATTTGATGGTTGTAGAAGGAATTGAACTTCATTTCTGTACCATTTATCATCCTTAACAAGCTCGTGGACGGGCTTATCTCCGGCTGGAGTTTTGACAGTAGCATGGCTAACATCAGGATACTGTGTGGAGGAGTGATTCCCCCAAATAATGACATTCTTGACACTGGAAACCGGAACATTCACTCGCTCGGAGATCTGTCCGAGAGCCCTGTTGTGATCCAATCTAGTCAAACAAGTAATGTTCTTATCTGGGATGGATGGGGCAAATTCTTTCAAAATCAATGCATTGGTGTTGGCAGGATTAGCAACAACCAATACCTGACAGCACAGCAAGAATGTAAATCAGAATAAAAAATAGTCATAATATGTTTATCAAACTCTTTTACCAACAGGGCTATTGCCAAAACAACTGCCTGTAGAAGTTTCAAGTTACTGAACACATTCTCAAGAACAACAGTTTCGTCGTCTTGAGTGCTGGGTGGTATAACTTATGAAAGAATGTTCATTAATTTTATGAATGATCTATCACCTTGCAATTGGAAGCGGCATGCTTCTCAAGTGCAGAAGCTTGGGATTTGTAAATGGAAACATTCTTGGACATCACATCTTTCCTTTCCATACCCTCCTTCCTCGGGAATCCACCAACCATTACTGCAACATTGACACCTTTGCAGGCTTCAACAGCATCAGTGGTAGCAACAACACCTGCTCCAAACATAACAAAGCATTTGCAAGTTAACCAGCCTCCCTTTCGACAAATGCCAGATAGAAAATAACAAGTCAAAACAACGATTGAGAGAGTCAACCTTTAAGAAGAGGAAATGCGGCATCTACCAATTCCATCTTAACTCCATTAAGTGCCTCTGCAGCAGGTGGAATGTCGAGCATATGGAGGATCACTGGCTGGTCAGGTCCCAACATAGCCCCCCTAGCAATCATAGGAACAAGGGCATATCCAATTTGTCCTGTCAAATAAGCAAAACCACCACTGGTTTGGTGATCAATGTTTGGCAGAAAACACCCAAGAAAATGTTAAACTTGTCATAATTAATACATTTTGAATCCAAAAATTAAGAGCAAGGAAGCAATTGCATCCAAAAACTCATAATAATAGATTAAAAATGGAAGGAGACTCTTCAGAAGGATATCAAATGAACTGAGGTCGCAACTGATCTTGGCCAAACCTTTGTGGAATTCAATTTATCATTCACTTATATATAGTCAATTTTCTTGCATAATTAGTTCCCCCACCATGTCTCCAACCCCGTTCAAAAACATCAAGGCATATCACTTTCCAACAAAACCAAAGTAGAATATAATGATTGACAACTCAAACCTTCAAACTGATTCTGTTTCCCTATTATAAAACATTTAAATGAACCTTAAGTTCATCATTTCCACCTCTCAAGATTAAACCAGCCATCAATTTATCCGAATTTATTGAATCATTTCAGTAATCAAACACAACAGAGATTGTCTTGTATGAACCAGCGTGTTTGTCCACGAAAAGCATTCATGTCAATACCAAACAAACGTTCATGATTCAGTAAGACACACAAATCAAATCTTCCCCCTCTCTGAATCATTTCAAGAAACCATACATGCCTACAGCCAACATCGGCTCACAATCACAAAGCACATATCCGAAAAATAAAAAATAATCAACAATAGATACAGGTCCAATTCAAATCACAGCAATCCATTAACAAGCACATCAAATCAATATCCACGAATTATACATTTAAAAGGAAAAAAAGGATGCGGATTCAGAAATGAACTGCTAATGAAATGATACCCGCTGCTCCGGTGACGAGAACACGAAGCGGTTCCTTAGCCATTTGCCCGTCGTAGATCCGAGTCCAGAAAGATCGCTTTAACCGAGGAGGATTGAGTGTGGCCGCAGATTACCAAGTCAGAGAACAAACTACACTTCCTAGACGAAACGAACGACGCATATATATACGTAAAATTTGCTTTACTAATGCCAGAGCGAATTTTGATATTCCAGGGAACGTTAGGGTCTTGGGAGCTGTGGTGGTAGTATTTATTATTATCTGCCACACATTACTTTTTATTATTATTGCAATAATTGCATGTAACAATTAAAAATATTGCATGTAAAGAATACAAAATACAACTAAACACAGCCACAGCTCTGTCCATAATGCAACAAGATTGTGCAAATTTATACTTCGTTCCACATAATTTGTCCATATTTTCTATTTTCGTCCGTCACACGTAATTTGTTCTTTTTATTTTTGAAAATATAATTATACACTTTAATCGCATTTTAAATTTTAAATTTATAATTTTTTAATTTTAATTAAATTATTTACTTATTTTAATCTTAATTTATAATTATTTTTACTAAATAATAATTATTTTTACTAATACACTTCTTAATTATTTACTAATTATACTTTACCTAAATTCTCGTATCTACGGTAATAGTCCCATATTTTCTGGGACGGAGGAAGTAATAATTACTGTAACAAAAAAAAAAAATCATTTTATTTATGCATCTTTTTATTATTCTAATATCCAAATAAATTTAAATGCAATGTGATTTAAGATACACTCTATAATAAATAAAATATTACAATAATATATTTTTTTTAATTTTTTTCAACATATTTTCCAAAATAATATATATTACATATATTTATTATTGTTATATTAGTTACATAATTTTCTATATTAAATATTTTTTCGATTATTTCATAAAACAAACTCACCCTAATTCATATATGGTGTGTTTACTAAATGAAATTATGATAGCTAATATTATTTTATCGGATCTAATCTCATGTTTATTTTATTAGAGTCCTGTATAATTAAAGATTCCGATATAATTATATCAATCTATAGTATTATTTATACAAGCATCTATAATTATTTAATCATATTTAATAAAATATCTAAATTACACTCTCCTTTAGACACTTGGAAGTATTTTATATAAATATAATAACAATTTTTTTTAATATACTTTGGATTCATTTGAAATGTAATTTATTTATTTATTTTTAATTTTTAATTAATACTCATTCCGTCCTAGTTACCGTATCCCTTTTACCGTAGTCACGAGAATTTAGGAGGTGTATAATTAGTAAAAATAATTATTCTATAACAAAAATAATTTTAAATTAATATTAAGATAACTAATTAGTCTAATTAAAATTTAAAAAATTATAAATTTTAAAAGAGATTAAAGTGTATAATTATTTTTTTTAAAAAAAATAACAAAATAAGACAAACGAAAATAAAAATATAGACATGGTAAGTGGAACGGAATGAGTAATATAAAGCAATAAGAATGATATACAATACTAAAAGTTAATTTATAAATTCGAAGTTAAAATCAAATATATTTAATAAATAACAAAAAATATATCAACTTATATGTAGATATTATATCATGACAATATCATAATTAAAATTTAAGGTATTGTTACATACTCCTCTATTGTTATAATAAGAAAGAAAACAATGTGAAAAATAAATTATACTACATACTATAATTTATAATAAGATTATTAGGGGTATTTTAGGTAAGAAAAAATAATCATACCATATAATCAAATAAACAAAACATAATACTTGTCGGGCCTAGTTTGCAGAGTATAGGGTTCGGCCGAAAATTTACCCAATGCATATTTTCGGGTAGTGATTGCGAGTTTCCACATCATCTAAAATAAATAAATAAATAAATAAACTAAACATAATATGACTTTATTTAATATCTACTTAAGTAAAGTAAACATTGTATTAATTAGTCTATTGATTATATACTGAGTTAAAATTATCTAGAGATTATAAATTAATCATTGGAAGTAAACGTTATATTTATTAGTCCTAAGGTTGTGTTTGTTTGGAGGTTTGAATTTGAATTTAGATTTGAATAGTAAAAAATTTGAATTGGAATAGTTGTATGATGTGATATAAATATATATTGATGTAATATTTTGAATGTAAAATTGATTTTTTTGTATAATATATAGAACACAAAATAGGCTTTTGATTTTGATATTTTTTAGGGAGAAAAAATTGGATGAATAATAAATTTTTGGAAAAATCCCTCAAACAAACATACTTAAGTATTTAATTTAAATAGCACTCTTTCTATTCGGAATGTTTACGCCGTTTTCATTAAGCACAGATACTAATATATTGTATTTTTTCACCCGAAATCGACACAGATGTAGGTAGAGAATACCTAGGGGCGCGTTACAACTCTCTCTAAGGAACTCGGCAAAATAGTTCCGTAACTTCGGGAGAAGGAGTGCCTCCTCACAAAGGGGATCGCAGTGATCAAGTCCGGGCGACTGTTTACCAAAAACACAGGTCTCCACAAAGTCGTAAGACCATGTATGGGGGTTGAAGCCTGCCCAGTGCTGGAAGGTCAAGGAAGTTGGTGACCTGATGACAGGGGAACCGGCGACGTTCCACCTAAGGTGCAATATTTAGTTTTCGACATAAAAATTAAGTGGATAATATAACATAAAATAAATTTAAAATTAGATAATACGATGAGAAATATATACTATTAATGTGATGAAATAAAATATAGTTAATTATTTTTTATTTTAAAAATATTATAAAATATGATGGATAGAATAAAATATAAAATATTCCATGTATATGGGTACATAGGAAGTAGTATTTTAATATAAGAATTAAGTAGACAAAGTGTGTTCACACTAATAAATTTTACTATGACACGATTCAAACAAAAATCAATAATACAATTCACAAATATTAGTTTTTATATTACTGATACTATTTTTCATATTTTATGTAATATATATATATATATTAGTTATGGGGTATATGTAGAGATGTATGTGTGAAATAAAGGATATTTATTTTTATTACTAATATGATTTATCATATTTTATGTAAAATATATATAGAGTAAAGCTATAAAAAACAGATTAGTCCGTAATCTACCATAACATACAAATAAGCTAATTATTTGCGGGTCAACCTCCGGCGAACTAAAATTTAAGCGGCCCAATCCAACTCACCGGTGGGTGACCAGGTAAACGGGTCAATCCATGGGCTTATAAAATATTAAAAATATATATATTTTATATATATTTTTAATATAAAAATAATTATATTTTAGAGTTTAAGTAATATATATTTAAGTAAACATGTAATATAAATTGATTCAAAATTTTAAATATTATTTATCGTTATTTTTAAAAATATTTGTTAATAAAAAATATTTAAACAATAAATAGATATAAAGTGTAATTCTTATAGATATTTCAATAAATTTTAGAAGAAAAAAAATTAAAAGATAATGAAAAATAAATAAAATAAACGGACAAAAAAATTAAAATAAAAAAAATAACGATGTCGACCAAAACAGTTATAAAAGACAATATATATTGATTAATTAGTATAACATAATACGAAAATTTTTAATAAATTAATTATTTGATTTAATTTAATATAAAATATTTTTAAAAACTATATAAAATATAACATTTTATAAATCTCGTGTGTATATATATATATATGTTGTAATAATATTTAAATTGTAAAAAATTTTAAAATTATGAAGTAAATATAATTATGAAAAATAAAATAAATAGATTCATCTGAAATATTATAAATATAATATAATTATAATTATATTTATTTACTCACAACTAGCCTACTTTCAACTCCTACCCCGCTTGGTGAATGGAACTACACTTGAACTTAGGGCAATTGCCTCCAAATCCATATTTGAATTATATTTTAATGTTCAAATATTAATTTTAATTTTAATTATTTATATACATTTCCGCAAAAAATGATATAAAATTATATATAACTCTATCATTATTTTATATTTTTGTTTATAAACATTTTGACCTCCCAAATTTAAACAATAATTTTGTTACTGTTTGCATGGATTGGCTTTAGACCTACATTTTAAACTCAGTTCTCTTTAATGTATATATAGAGATGTATATGTGAAATAAACGATTTTACCGTTATTTTGCCAAAATTATATTTAGAATTTAAATAAGATTTCTTATATATATATATATATATATATTTGAACTCACCGTGGGTCTCATTTTCCAAAAAACATGAATTTCTAGCTATTTTGAATTTTTTTCTTTCTTTTTTGATTGGTTGGAGTGTTTGATTGGTTGCTAGATATTATGTGTGACCAACCTATTTTTGCATTTATTTGTTTTTTTAAAAAGCAAAAATTTCTAACGTTTTTGTATTTTTTTCTTTAATTTTTATTAGTCTTAATATTTGATTGGCTACTGCATAAATATAGATTAATACATAATATCTATAATTATTTATTTCTTAAATATTAAATAATATTTATAATTTGTGTATATCTTATTTTATCTTATATTATCTTATATAATTAAAAATATATAAAAAATATTTTTCATAAATTCAGAAATATTAGTAAACTATAAATATGATATTTTAATTTTAAATTATTTTAAAATTTAAAGTTAATACAATAGACATATAAAAAATGAATTTAATTATATATATATAACATACTCAAAATATTAATACAATTAATTTAACATACAAAAATTGTATATTGATGTAATATATTTTTTTATTAAGTTAGATAATAATTTTTTTATAATATATTAAATGAATAAAAATATAAATATTTTTGTCTCAAATATTACTACTTATAATTATTTTTTATTTTACCGATATATATTTGAAATAATTAAATTATAATATACTTCATATACATAAATAAAAAAGATAAATTTCTATATATATATATATATATATATTATATATAAATTTAAATATATTTTATAATAAAATAAACAATGAAAACATATTTAGTCTATAAAAAATCTATAAATAACATTGAAAATAAAAATATTAATTAAGTGTTAAATAATAATTGTAATGTGAAAAATGA